TGGCACTCTACCCAGGAGGATAGCTTGAGGCTCCGTCTCAAAAAAAAAAAAAAAAAAAATAGGTACTGGGCCTCCATGGCCTCTCCTCCAGGTAGGAAAAGGGCACTGGAACCCGGTTTCTGGGTTTTGCCTCCATCTCTTCCACGTTGGTGCCCTGAAACGGGCAATGAGTCACCGTGTCTGTCAGTCTTCCTCAGCCAGTGAACCTGGCAGCACCTGGGGGTGGCTCTGTGGCGCACAAGACAATCACACAGGGCAGCGCCTGTGGCTCAAGGAGTAGGGTGTGGGCCCCATATGTTGGAGGCGGTGGGTTCAAACCCAGCCCTAGCCAAAAACTGCAAATAATAAAACAAAATAAAATTAAAATTAAAAAAAAATTATTTAAAAAAAAAAAAAAGACAATCACACAGCCCTTCTGAGCCTCGTCTCCCATTTTGGGACGCAGGTCGTAAAAGCACAACTTCATGTCGTCTCTGTGCACTTAAATCTCAGCCCAGAACAGAGTTTTGGAGTGGGCCCACTTGTTCCACTCGGAAGCAAAGAGCAGACTAACATTAAAGGGGACACCATCCCACATCACCGTCTTCGATTTTTAGGGAAGAGCACGAGCGCCACCTTGTGGCCACGTCTCTAATAAACAGCGGTCCCCTCAGCTGGATGAAAGGGCTCCGCCCTTCTAGCTCCTGTCCTGAGGTCCCCCACTCCAGGTGCGCCCTTGCTCACCTACCCGCACTTTATCATTTATTCCTGCGCTTTTTATTTACTCTTGACTTCCTGCCTCCCCCCAGCCTGGTTCGCCTCCGTCGCGCGGTCCCTCATGCAGTATGTGGTCCATAAAGACCGATTGGATGCAGAAATGAATGACTTTATTGCTCGGGCCCCGCAAGGTGACCGGACCCCCTAGACCCCTCCTCAGGCCGCCGCGCCTTCGGCCAGGACTGCTTCGATCCAGGCCACGTAGGTCGCCACGCGCGTGTAGATCCCGGGCTTCTTGCGATTGCCACAGACTCGTGAGCCCGAGGTGACCACGCCCTCAAGCACTCCGTGGCACACCAGCGGGCCCCCGGAGTCACCCTGCGCGAGGTGGGCCATGAGGATGGGCTCTGCCAGCTGGAGCCTCCCTCGTCTGGCTCTGGCTCCAGCTGGCAATTTCAGCTCTCTCGCTCAATCTGGTTCTTCACTGATCAAGGTCCCCAGGCCTTGCCCATTACGACAGCCCCACTACCAAGCCCCGCCCCTCCTTTCTAAGCCCGCTCAACTCTTAACCCCGTCCCTCGGAGCAGACCGGTTCCTGGTCTCACCAAGTCCGCCCGCGACTCCAGGCTCTCCCTGATGGGCAGATCCCATTTCCCCCAACTGCCCCAACCAGTCTCAGTGACCACCCCTCAACTCAGGCCCCTCCTTCGAGCTTTCCCAATCTTGGGCCATTCTCCAAACCCCGCCCAACCCTAGGCCTCATCCTTGCAAGCCCTGCCTCTCCACCCAGCCCAGCTCCACAAAATCCCATCTCCGAATTAACCCCACCTCTTCTCCAGGCCCAGCCCCACAACACCCCGCCCCCCAGAGCCACACCTTCGTTCCTCCTCACCTCTTCCCCGGTCCCGCCCCTCAACCACCCAATCCCTTCCCAGGCCCCGCCCCATCTCCTAGTTGGGTTCCTGAGCACCTTGCAGCTGTCCCGGCTGTTGCTCTCCGCGCACATCATGCTTTCCGTGATGGTGCCGTCGTGGTACCTGCGCAGGTTGCAGGTGGCCCGGTCCAGCACTGGCAAGAGCACATGCTGCAGGCGGTCGGGCCGCCGGCCAGAGTGGTTGACCACGCCCCAGCCGGCCACGTCGCAGAGGGTGCCCGGTGCCACATCGCGGTCCACGCGTTGCCAGGGTAGGGGACGTACGGCGGGCCCCAGGACAGCCTTCTCAGACAGCTGGGAATGGACAGAGGTGGGCGTCAGGGTTGGGGCACATGGGGTGCGAAGCAGAAAAAAGTGGGTTAGGGAGGTGGGCATCAGGGTGGGTGTGAGGGTGCCCAGTGCAGCAGGAAAGACTGCAACTAGACTCTCTGGGGATGGGTACATGGGTGTGCCCAGTGTAGCAGGAGAGACTGCGCCTAGACCCAGGGTGCGGGGATACAGGCAGGGACCCCTCCTCAGTCCAGCAGTAACTGCTGCTACCCTCTCCGACCTGCAGCAGGAGGAGGTCATGGTCGATGGTGTCGGGCTGGCTGTTCGGGTGGGGCACTGAGCGGCTCACGTCGTACAGGCGTTTGGAGATCTCAGGCTGGGTAAGAGAGTGAGCCCCCAGCAGCACCTGCACCGTCCCATTACCCCTGGGGATGGGGCAGGGTCCATTGTTGGTGGGAGCTGAGTGCCACCACCTACCCTTACCTCTACCCCGCCCTTTGCTTTGCAAGGAAGGCACTCACACTTCCTCCAGGCAGTGTGCTGCGCTCAGCACCCACTGCTCAGCCACCAGAGCACCACCACACAGGTGCTGGCCGTTCACCTGCACCGATGCCATGTAGGGCCTCGAGTGGGCCTCAGCCTCCCGGCCACCAAGGATGCGACCACGAGGTTGTGCTGCTGTGGAAGGACAGAAGGGTGTGAGGACCATGAGGTGGACTGGCTTCTCCACGACCCCTCCAACTCCAGGCCACTCCCGCCCCTCTTAGACCACAAATTCCATATCTGTCTTCATCCCATCAGAGTTCAGAATTCAGATGCCTCCTAGTCCTAGAATGGCCAGTGCAGGTGGGAAGAGAATGGCACAGGGAGTCGGGCACTTGGGAGCAAAATCCAGCCCTACACCCTATGCCTAGCACTTCAAATTAAACATAAGGAAAATAGGGCTGACAAAGCCAAAACTAGTCTAGTTTACTCAGGAGGTGGCCAGTTTTGTACTTTTTTTTTTTCAGTTTTTGGCTGGAGCTGGGTTTGAACCCACAACCTCTGGCATGGTGCTGGTGCCCTACTCCTTTGAGCCACAGGTGCTGCCCGAGGTGGCCAGTTTTTGAGTGAAGAATTTCATATTCTCATGGTGGTGAAAACTCAGATTTCACATTCAAAATTTTGAGAATTCCTTTGACTTTGAGAGCTTTCTGTTCATGGAAACTTTACCCCCCCACCCCCATCTCCTTTCTGTCCACCAGGTGGACTTGAAAGTGTTCACGGAGCCCTCTGATTGGAGACGCAGGGAAAAGGAACTGCAGACAGGATGATTGATTTGAAGGGAGGTTGAGACTCGCTCAGGTCAACGACCAGGCCTAACTTTACTGATTATCTTATATACTCTCAAACATTCAGTAAGAATTTAACACAGATAAAAAGAAGTGAAGATTAGGAAACTACCATTAAGATTACAATTCAGGCTCGG